AACAGAATTTAGGAGGATCCTCCCTGAGAGGACAGCTCTCTGACCACTTGGATTAAGCAGTCCCAATTGTGCCAACAAACCTCCATCACACACAGTAAGAAAGAAGTTTAAAGCAGGCAATTAGGGATCATCTTGGAAGGGCACTGTGTTGCTTTGCCTTGTTTCTATAGCTGAGCAGCCAAACCAGTTTTCTATTCAAAAGCTTTATTTTAGTGCTCTTCTAGCACACTTAATCTCTATTTTTTATTCCATAATCCTAGAAACAAAGTGAAACAAAGTTCAGAGAGTACATGGTGATCTAGCTCCAGAATGAGTTTCTTTCATTTTCCCTGGATAATCTGTGGAAGCAGGTAGCAAATAGAGGAATGTTAGGTTTTGGGCTCAGAAGGATTTAGTTTTAATAAAAGAAGTTTCCAAAGCTTGCTTCTCTGGCCAAACAAGTGGAAAGACTAGTCATCCTTATTATGTTCCTTTTTGTTTGACATATTGACAGTATTCCTAAGCTTAAAGCTTTTAAGGGATAAGCAGTTTTCCAGGGAACTACAAAAAGGATATGTGTCCTCCTGAGAATAAGAACAGCTTCTTCCAGACATGAAACTAAGCAAAAAATAAGTGATTTTAGAAACAGAGTTTCTAAAATCCTTTTGCCACAAGTATTATGTATACTCAGTAGTTTTTGAATAATTCTCCAAGAAAACATGGCAGAAACAGGAGTGACCCAACATTCACAGTAATAACAACGATCTGTATCCTAAGCCAGATCTGTAAAAGGATAAGGAAAGCTAGTTCCTATCCAGCACAGATAACAGTGCTTTAGAGGAATGTAAGTGAGCCATAATATAGACAGCCTTTTGTGAAAATCCAAGGCATTAAAGAGAGAACATACCAATACAGCTAACTACTATAGGAAATAAATGGAACTAGCAAGTGAATACACCAAGGCATGGAGGGGATGCTAGAAGACATCTTAGTGCAGAACAATACATGACTTTAGGCTGACCCTCTCTGCTGTGGTGACTCAAAAAAAGGTGAAGTGTCAGGTGGTTTCAAAGTGTTGGATCAAGATGAGGCCTGAACAAAAAACCCTCTCACCTCAGCATGAAGTGCGTCTCTCACCACATCTCTTTTCCTTTATCTGGTTGCTGGCAGGAGATAGAGGTGTAGAGGGACCAAGAATGCCTCTGGAGAGTGTAGGAAAGCTTGTTTAAGCAGTTATTTCTTCAAGAGCAGATCTCCAGCACAGTGTTAGTTGGCTCATGCTCAGACAAGCTCTAAGAGCTATTATGTCAGTCTTGATCAGCCAAGATACAGCAGCCACGCTGCATTCCTTGATGATCCTACCTGAAAGGAGGTTCTAGCCAGGTAGAGGTCAGTCTCTTCTCCCAGGCAACCAGTGACAGGATGAGAGGACATAGCCTCAAGCTGCACCAGGGGAGGTTTAGGTTGGACATTGGAAGGAATTTCTTCACAGGAAGGGTAATTAAACATTGGAATGGACTGCCCAGGCAGGTGGTGGAGTCACCGTCCCTGGAGGCGTAAAAGGAAAGACTGGATGTGGCACTTAGTGCCACGGTCTAGTTGACATGGTGGTGTTTGGTTGTAGGTTGGACTCGATGATCTCAGAGGTCTTTTCCAACCTAATTGATTCTGGGATTCCTCTGCCTCCGTACAATCCTAAACATCCACTGGTCAGATTATGTGACTAATACGACTGTTCTAGAACAAGCAGCAGTCACAAGCGTTGAGGCCATGTTACTGAGAACACAGCTACGCTGGGCAGGGCACGTCTCCAGGATGAAGGACCACCGCCTCCCTAAAATCGTGCTCTATGGTGAACTTGCCACCGGCTGCCGCAAGAGAGGAGCCCCAAAGAGGAGATACAAGGACTCCCTGAAACAACATCTCAGCCTTGGCCATATTGACCAACATAACTGGTCTACTCTGGCCTCCAATCGAGAGCTCTGGAGACACACCATCTATAACCCTGCTGATGCTTTTGAGAACGCACGCAGAATCACTCTCGAGGAGAAAAGACAATGCAAAAAGAACCGTGTCTGGTTGATACCACCTAAGGAGTCTTTCTGCTGTGCCTTTTGCAACCGGACTTGTCTATCTCGCATTGGCCTTTTTAGCCACCAGTGGGCTTGCAGCCAATGTGGGTAGAGTCCTTCCCACATCTTCGTTCGCGAAGCCTAGCCATGATGATGATGATGATTCTGGGATTCTGAGATCCTGCCTTCGGTGTTTGCATGCAAAAAGGAAGAAGGAGAAACATGACTGTATACTCTGTGCTGTGTGTGAAAATCAAACATACCTGGTGTCTGTGACAAGAAGAGGATCACAGAGAAGATAAGGAAGGAATCTAAAGAATGATTTCTTTGAACAGAGAGTTTTTTCTTAAGCCATTGTCCTGTCAAGAGTTCTCTCAGGAGCTACTAAGAAGCTGAGGTGTATGGCCAAAAGCATGAGTGCCATTTGCTGTTCACTGCATTTGCCAAGAAAATTAAACGGACATGAATTGCATAGTCCTTCATTGTCCAATCCAACCAGATTATACATTGACTCTGAACCCACTACCTGAAAAAAGTAATGTAGTCTATCTCAGAAAAATTAGAGTAATATATAGGCAGTAACATTTGGAGTATGTTGTTCAGAAATTTAGCACTTTTATCTTTTTAAACCAAGTATTTTACAGTGATTCTTGGGGTCTCACTTCTTTTTTTTTTGAAAAATTATAACTTGCTAAGTTAAGCAGAACCAGTTATGCAAAAACCCCATACTTTATTTTTCTTTTCATACATTACAGTCGTAATATATCTTAAAACCTTAGATTAGAGAAAGCAAATGGTAAATATTTTTGACTTAGTAAAGAAAGCAAAGCAGACATTAGACTGTGCTGACATGAAAACATAAACCACTTCTGGGAACTGCAATATATCTCGAATCTACATTAATAAGAATTCTTTCTTGTCAGAAGAGCTCATAGATTTTTATGTCTTTAAAAGTTGTTATGCTGCTTGTATTTTGTTATTCTGCTTAGCAAGAAACATTTTTGGAGGCTACAGTTTTATTAGAAAAATTCTTATGAATGCAAGATTGTACTAATAAACATAGGAGCCATTGTTTTCAGAAGAATCACAATTACAGCAGCTTTTTTCTTTCTGTTTCCCTCACCCTGTCATGCAAATCACCTTATTAGTCATAGCAAGCACTGTTATAATCCTCATGCCAGAGAGCCGTAAGGTCATCACATAGAAAAAACAGTTCAGAAAATCTCCCAACATTTTTGAGCTATAACCATTTCACATGGCTTAAAAGCAGTTCATAGGCTTTGATTCTTGTATTATTAGCATGGGCCATTTAAGAAGCTTTCCATAATCAAGCATTTTATCCCCTCCACCTAGAAACCTCTCTCCTTTTCTGGAGCAATTCATTATCCTGACCTGAAAGATCAGATCCAATATACAAGAAGAGTTTTGTACAATGGCCACTGGAGTTTCAAAACTTGATTAATTTCACAATTAAATTCTGTGTAAGTGCCATCAATTTCCTATTACAGGAGAGAGAAATTCAGCATTGAATTTTTTTCTAAAGCTTTTTTTTTTGTTTCCTTCCCTAGTGAAATACTGTATTTGAACATTTGAAAGAGAGAAGGCAATGAAAGGAAAAAGCACACTTTCCCATACTGGAATATGTCTGTTCTTTCTATAATAAGGACTACAGATCCAACCCATACGGTAGTAGGATTATAATTTTGAAGGAGCTTTAAATGTACGCACTCTTTTCCCTTTTTTTGTGAGCTGGAGTGTGCTGTCCTGCAGCAGGCAAGCACTGTTGTGCAGCTGGAAATAATTATCTAAATATCTAGTTCTTAGTGGCTTGTGTTGGGAAGTTGTCAGGGCTTTGGCTCTTTGAACAGTTTGAAAAGGTCTTGGAAGAGCTGAGGCTGTGATGGCACTTCCACTCCTAGTCTGCTTTAGCTGACGAGGTGTGGCATCTGCCACCAAACAGATGCAAGATGAGACGCAAGCAAGATAAACCCCGCTCTTAATGGGCCTTTGGGTTTTCATGGTAGAAAAAAGTTCTCGGACAAGTTAGTTTCCCTTTTGTCCCTAGTCCACTTGTACAGTTACTGTGTGTGCCACTGGGCTGCTGGGCAGTTTTAGATGAGCAGAGAAGAGTTTCAAAACATATTTTGCAAGGAAGGGGACCACAGTCATTTGGTTCAACAGTAATAGCCTATCGTACAAAGGCATTTCACTGAGGAAGGGCCACAGAACAGTGACAATACACTCTTCAAGTGACCCCTTCATAAAATCTCCTGAATACATAGTCTTTCTAAGCCACAGTAACAAGCATTATAGCTATAGTTAAAGGCAAAGAGTTATAAGCATTCTTAGAGAATTAATTATTAGAGAGTTAGAAATTAAGTTCATGCCAATTTTAGATTATATTAGGTAACTCACGCTAAGCAATTGCTGATGACTTACTAGTAAATACAGTAAAATAACTCCTTCTTCCTTCTAACGTATGATTTTGACGTTCCCATCAGTATCTTCTGACCAGGCAATAGCCTCATCTACTGACCAGATTCAGTTTTTCAGTTGATGTGCAGTAAGAAGTGGAAGCCACAAGCCTGAAAAGCTCTCAGCTCCCTGTATTCAATGTGATCAGCAACAATCAGCATCCTTATTATGTTGTTCTATCTGGCCATGTTCTGATTAAATTGTATGTCTATTCCAGGCACTACTGGAGAAGAAGGATAAAGTCGAGGAGCCAAAGAAGCCCATCCGTGGCCCTGAAAAAGTAGAAGAGCCTGTTCCTAAGCCACCCACTCTAATTCTGGAAAAACCATCAATTGTAAGTCAGCTGGTTTTGGCACTTTTTTCCCTGTTGATCCCTCATTGCTTCCTACACAGTTGTTACAGGAATGCCCAGAGAAGGAAAGAAGGGAGTTTTATCTTTTTTGTGTGCATTCATGTTAAAAATAACCATCGTTATTTCTTAAGACTCTCCTAGTCTCTCTTTATTTTATAAAGATACTAGCAGCCAAAGAATTGAAAATATTTTACAATATCTGTTGGCCAAATCCTTAAGTAAACTTTATTTTATAAAGACATAAATTAATAGACATGTAATTCTCTTGTTCTTGAGAAATAAGAAGGCATCATCATCATCATCATATTATTATTGTTATTCAGTAGCTTCCAACCTTCTGATCTGACAACACTATCATAATCCAGTGAGGCAATTAACTTTAGTCTCATTGAAGTCAGTGAGACCTTGGCTGCTTAGCACTGAGCATGCACTTCATTAATTTGCTGGAGTGAAGCTCTTGTCATCATGCAGGATGCAGTGTTTGATGAGCATGCTCCAGTTCACAGATAATGATTCTCCTGCAGAGATTGAAATAGCAGTAATGATGTGTCATGGGGGTTGTGATATGCTGTAGGAAAAAAAAGACTTTTAGGGGAGCCGCAACTTCTTTTCCTTTCTTAAAGTAACGTACTTAAGAGGTGGTTACCCCACTGGGTTGCTTTATCTTCTTATTAACACCATTTTCATGATGTACTAAGAATCAGACACAGTTACCATTTAAACTTTGAATTTAAGAGAGTCACACAATCACGAAAGTGAGAGTAAGTCTTATTGGATCATCCATGCTGCTGTCTTCCTTTGTGCAGTATGATATTTTATGTTTTATACAGTCTATTTTAAGACTGAAACAAGAATCTCTTATCTCTTTGGGAAGAGCTTTCCACAGCTTTACCAACTCCTAGGTATGAGATATTGTATTGCAGTGGTGGATTTGCACTGTTTAGGTTTACCAGTTTAGCAGATTTTTAAGTACTTTGAGGTAACATGGAAAGAAATCAGAAAAATTTATCTCCCAGTTATAGTAATTCTTGAGAGTGTTTACAGCTTATGGTTTTCTTTTTTAAGAATTCCAATACAATTTAATTCCACCTACATGAATTTTGTCAACATTTGGTTTATTTTCAAGTATCATTATGTGTGAACGCATTAAATATGGAGATCTCCAGTGAAACTCCACTTATAAAATCAGGTCACTTGAGCCACTGAAGAGCAGCACTAACATCTCCTGCCTTGCTGAATCCAAGTGAGGTTTCTCTTACCAGATAGCTGCGAGGAGCACTGAAAGCAAGAATCTTCTCTGTTGTTAATGCTTCTCTTCCTGCCCTACACATATACGAGTAACAACAGCTAAGTGCTTCCCACCGGAGTTGGGGATCTCAAAAAGAAACTGATGGAGTGACAGTCAGGTGATGTGGACAACAAGGGATATAAAAAAAAATTGAGAGAATCGAGGCACTACTGCAGGCCTCCTCAGCTTCTCTCCCCCAGGCATTTCTAGTGGACTTACTAGCCACAACAAGCTCACAGAGCACATCTGAATTCCTTCATTAGTTTTTGACTTTCTTCCAGTCCCCTCTAATTTGCAGCCATCTCCTACATCCTTCTATATCCTTATTTTTCCTTTTTTTTTTTTCTGGAGGGTATGATAGGATTTTCATCCCCCTTCATTCTTTCCTGCTGGTGTATTATCAGGCAGATGGACAAGCTGATGATTACACTTGCTAAGGCATCATTTGCAGCACTGAACAGCAGAAGTACAGAAAAATGCTTCTCACAAAAATTTAAACCAAATCTTAGTTTAAATCAGAGCAAGCAGTTTGGCTTACCAGTATATGTGCCATCACCATTTCCAAAACTCTGTCCTGGAGCGATTTCACACTTGTAGCCAAGTGATGTGGTACAGTTTAGCTCTCTAGGACTGGAAAATCATCCCTTCTTTCCAGAGAAAAAGAACATACCAAATCATAAGGCAGTCCTTTGGCTAGTTCTGTTTTGCTTCTCCTGAGTGCTGGTGTAGAAAGGCAGGAATGCTTCCTTTTGCATTTGGAAAACTCAGTCTTCAACACCTAAGAAAAAACAGATAACTAAGATTCAAGCCCACACTTCTCTCATCCCACACTCTTCTATGTTTTTCCGACACTTCTTAAATACCACATTTCAATGCAGACCTTATAGGTTCTTTATTAAAAAAAAAACTTACCTCCAATTTTTAGATTTCTTTTTATCTTTCCCAGGCACCTTATGGACTCTTTCCTTCTGCTACCGTCAACTCCAAACTAGAAGACCTCTCATCTAGAAAGAATGCTGCCATCTATGCTTTCTGTACTTCCTCTATTTAAAATAAGCCCCCTTTTTTTTTTCTCTCGTGGTCACGTTCCTTCTTCCACTATGCTCCATGATTCTTCCAAGTTGGTATCAATCACACCATGCTAGGCCAGTAAAGTTCTCAAAGAGACAAATCACAAGAGAATGTAGGTAATTTTACTTCCAAACTGTCACTTTCTAAGTCTTAAATTTACTCATTTACTCTAATAAAGGTCACTGCTGGAACAAATATCAGAAGAAAAGTTGTGTATGTTCCCTTTTAATTTAATCCCTTTATTTATGGTTAACATCTCTCTTGAACCTCCTTTGATAATAATTCTGTCCCCTTAGTATCTTGACCTGTTAAATTAATGTAGCTGGTGCTCATTTTGCAAACTCAGATGCAGTCAAGCTACAAATGGTACTTCTAATGCATAATCTTCTCCATCAACATCTCCTTGTCACTAGGTTCTCATCTCTAAAGACCCTTTAAAATCTCAAATAGAATAATTGTATGGCCTTTCTTCCCCATCCCTTGCAAAACATGGAAGTACTTGTTATTCTGACTCACCTTCCTTCCTTAAAAATTAGAAGAATGGTGTTCAGAAGCAACCAAGAACAGGCAGGATATGAGTTAGACTATTTAATATTTAGATGGATAATCTACAGAAATCTCAGTCTCCAAAGACATAATTAATTATTGTGTGGATATTTGTGTTTTGGCAGGAGGAAGAGGAAACAGAACTGGCGGTGATCTGTCTGCAGAAGTTGCTCCGAGGGAGGGCTATTCAGAACATGGTATTCTGTGTCTGTTTATGTCTGTCTTCACAATGATAGTGGGAATGACTGAAAGGGTGTTTGCAGTCTTTCTTTCACAGCACTAATCAGGGGTAATGAGAATTCTGCAGCATATCCTCCTGTATGTTATCTGGAGTCCTTCAAGGCTGAAGTCTTTGCTCTTCAGCCCAAATTTCTTACAGGAACTTCTAGGTTCCTACACACGTATGTGAATGTTCCCCCATTCTTGCCGTTCCCTACACTCAGCTGTTTATTTAGACGCTTCATAGCAGAATTACTCAAATGGCAAGTCCTAGACTAGATCTGGACCATGAGCACATTTTGCCATGATTATGCCAAGATGCCAGGCACAAGAACCTCCCACATCCCAGCAGGGCAGCTTGTATTGCATACCATCTTTCCGGTTTCCTGTGGTGGTGAGCTGAACCACAGATGAGGAGGAACTGAAGCATACCAGTGTGATTTCCAGCAAGTGCGGGACCCATCATTCTGCTTTCAGTGGAGCAGAACAGAGTCTAAGTAAAAATTGAGTAGCCGTGCCTTGTGGGCATTATATTAAGCAAGCCTATCACTTTTGATCAGACCAGTCCAGAAGGTTTGTTTTTATGCATGGAGGGAGTATAATTGATATTCTCTCTTGCAGTAATTATTTGATGTTTGTGAAGCGTTCCCATGTGGGATGCTGACCTGAGCTTTAGCAAACAATGTAATGTTGTGAAAGTGGCTTGAGGTGGAATGTCTTCTCCAATTCTATGGTGATCTGTGAGAAGGAGTTTGATGCCATTGAAGGACTATTGACTTTCACAGTATGAAATGTCCCATCGTTTTAGGAATCTCCTTCCAGATACTGCTGGATCAGAAATAAATGACTCAGTTGGAGAATGATGTGAGCAGGGTTGAGTGATCTTTTGTTGCTGTTGGAAGAGAGGGGGACTGGAAATAAAACACTGTCAGTGAGGACTGGGCCACATAACCCCATAACAGGGATGGCAGCACTTTCAGAAACCTCCCCATCAATTTATTGCTATGAGCTGTTGCTGGTCTCCCTCAAAATGAAGGTCAGAGAATAGTAGATGTTGAAACACTGTGAAGCTTTGACATTGAGACTGATATAACAGAGTATCCAGAAGGCTATTGCCCTTTTCACTTGACATTGGTGGTGTTGTTCCACATTCCAGTGGTTTGATTTCTGGGTAAGGCCAAAGAGAACAATAAACAAACAAATGAACAAACAAATAAAAGTAGTAAGGGATTATCTATATTCCACAGCAGAAGGTCTCAACTTTCATCTTCTGTGCAGGGCGGTTTAGGCAAGATTTACTTGACAGCTGTAGTGTTTGCCTAAATACAGCCACAAATTCGTTAGAGAGAACTAGGCCTTCAAAACAGCTGACCTTGCAACTTGGAGAAAAAGGGTGTGCTCTGCTGGCAAACATGTTGATATATATTCTCCATTTAATATGCTCACTTGTTTACCTTTATTTTAAAGATGTTTGAAGGGAAGAAGAAGCGACTGGATCTGATCCAAGAGCTGCGCACCACTCACGCACTCCAGGAGGATGGGCAGCTGCTCTTGAAGGCAGAGGAGCAAAGGATCCTGGCTCTACAGCAACAGCATGAGTCACAAATGCACAAGGTTTGCCTGTATAGATGGGAAGGTTGATTCACAACTCTGTCCTGACCAAGCACTCTGTTTTTTACAGTACCACCAACACTCTCGCATTTAATTTCTTTATGTTTTCTATTATCCACAGCACAGAAGGCACCCCAATAACAATAATGCTGTCCTAGCACCGGCCAAGCATTGAGTGCCTGGGGGGCTAAAATTGCTCTCTCGCTGCTCTGGGGAATCTCAGAACCAGACTGAGGCACCCTGACCGCAGCTGCTATGCGGGCTGTGGTTGCTTTGTTTGCAGACAGAGCAATTATTTACATTTACAAGGCTTTGAACAAACTGCAGTGTCAGATGAACCTCAGTTTTCCCACATTTCAATCCATTTGACTGGTACTGCGACCTGGCATCACAATACATACTTGTCACTCACATCTGTCAGATGTTCTACTGAGTGTTTGTTACTGCTCTGTCATTTCTCTGATCCTTTTCTAGCTTGGCACCCTCTCAGGCTACTCCTCAGGCATAAAACATCACAAAGGAAGCCAAATCCAACTTACTTTGTAAATCCTGCTGGGCTCAAGACTTCTAGAACCTCAGCAATGGTGTCACGTTGTTGTACCTGCCACTGTTATGCAGAGCAGAGAAATCCTCTACGAAGGATCTAGTGAGAGCCAGGAATGTGAATTCCCATCCTATTTCCTTGCAGGGCCACAACCTTCCAGGGCAAAGTGAATAAAATGGCAGATGCTGGTCTGGAATGGATCATAAAGAGACTTTGTCCAGAGTTCACTGCATCTCAGATATACAGTATCTCTCACATTCCTGCAAGTTTTTACTACTCTCCTGTTTTTTCAGTGACCAGCTGTGAGGCAATCCTGCAGCTTCCATATTATGATAATTGCATCCGCTGTTAGTTGACCTGATGGAGAGGAAGCCAGTCCACTGCTTCCTGCTGGGTGGAAAGCAATGAAATTTCCCTTCAGATCTCAGTAAAAATTGAGACAGGTGACAGTGTTTTACTGTTTAGCATTTCCAGATGCTCCCTCACGTACAGGGAGCTCGGGTGCAGGAAGACTGAATTTTTCTCCTGAGGAATTAAGAGAAAAATAAAAGCTCTAGACATTAGAAACTTGCAATGCTCCTGTTCTATTGAAGGCCCAGGTGTGAGTGAGGGAGAGAGCAGTTCAGGCACCATAATGACGTTCACAGAGAGGGAGAGAGAGCAAATGGTAAAGATGTTGACCTCTAAATTCAGAATTTCCTTTTGGGAGAGCCACTATCCCCCTCTGCTGGTATTAACCTCCTCTACTCTCACTTTTTATTTTTACTATTTCTCTGAAGGCACATAGACCAATGCTCAGGTCTTCAAACATTCAGAACTGTAAAACTCTCTGGAATGCAAATGCAGGAGTTTTCTATGTGTGTGGCTATTTTAGAAAGTCACTGATGACTCACAGTTTTATAGGTTTTGGTGATGTTAGTTTTTGACCTTTTATAGGTCAATATATATATATTATATAGGTTATAGGTTTCTGACCTTTCCAGTATAAAAAGAAATGCTTCCTGCAGAAAGAGGATGGAAACTCCAGATAAAATGGTCAAAGATAAGGAGTTAAAATTTTCCAATTTGTTTATAACAAAAATCTAAGAACGTTCCTCAGTTGTTTTTCTCCATTTCACACCAGTTTTAGACATGGCATCTGGAGCAGTGAAGAGGAAGGAGCGCATTAGTTCTATGTTATCCCTCCCTGTGGGGTGGTGCAGTTACTGCATTGCAGTCCTCCATCTGAAACACCCATGGGCTGAGTGCTGTCTCTTCTACATGTGTACAACACTGACAATCCCACTTGCTTTGGAAGACTGCATGAGCAAATGGCACAGCAGTATAAGAAAGTTGATTTATTATTATTTGTTTGGGATATTTCATCTCCATTTTGAGTTTTCTGTTTAGGTCTATTCTGTTAGTGCCTGTTTATTCCAACAGAAACACAGCATCCCAGCCAGTTCCAGACATTCCCTCCTGCCGAGGGCTATGGCTTCATAGTCCATATTGGAGATAATAAATGTACCATAGATCTTATCCCTTTCTGAAGTGCAATCACATATACCCATAAAACAGGATGTGCTTGGAACAAGAAGTGAATGGCAATGCTGAACACCTGGAATCTAGTCTCAGCTCTGTCACAGGCTTTCTGATTTTCCATTCCATGTAATTTTGAGGTCTCATCTGCACTTCTGCAAACTTAATATAATTACTGTCAATTGGAATTTTGTAGCAGTTAGAAACTTATACAGTTTTAGTAATATTACAGTACCTAAAGTTGTAGGGACTCATGGTTGCTTTATTATCTCAGCCAGTTGAATTACTTTCATTGCATCATAATGTCCAGCCAAAGATGTATCATTTCACTGAGAGGCCTTTGAACTGTAACATTTTGTACCCTTAGGAGAGAATAGAAGTGTGGTATTACTCACAGTTCCAGTTTCCTAAAGCTCTACTCAAGCTTCTACTCATAAAGATTGGGGTTTACTTTCCACATGGTAGAAAGAAGCTTCATTTGCAACTTTTGATCCTGTTTTTCTGTTCTGGTCTGACTAAGCTCAGCACAGAAAGATGGAGGTATGCAGCTGAAGTAATTTCATTGTCACTTGTCTCCCTCCCCTCTCTTGGTCTGGGCAGCGGATTGTTCCCCAGTAACAAACAGGTCACCTCAGCAACTATTCTGGCCATACTCACAGCCACAAAAGTGGTTCATAACATCTGGAATACAGCATGTCTACTGCTTTATCTCCTCTCACCCATCCAAGCATAAGGGCTGCTTGTCCTAGTGTGACAGTATCAGGGCTATTCCTGCCCTGGCTCATTTTGCCATCTTTTAGCCTCTTTGTGCCATCAGAGCCTATACACAGGAACATTGCATTGTGCAGAAACCAGCCAGTGCATGTAGAATGAAGAATGCATGAAGAATGCCAAACTCCTAGGGTTCTCCCATGGCTGGTCTGAGTGGGTACTGTAAAGCTGTTTCACATGCCTGTGGTAGTCCCGAGACTTGGTACAATGCTCCTGGGAGTTGTAACACAATTCTTTGCATTTTTCTCTTAAAAGCTGTCATCCATGGAAAAGGACTTGGCCACGGTAGAAGGAAGGACACTGGCGAACATACTTGATTTTCTGTCCAAAGAGCTGGTGAGGCTGCAACAAGAACGGAAGATCCATGCTTTGGTCATGCTGGCTGAGAGGCAGAGGCGGATGCGGGAAGCAGAGGAGAGCGGACGTCGTCAGGTGGAAGAGAGGCGGCGTCAGGAGGAAGATGAGATTTTCAAACAGGCACGTGAAACTGGTGGGACTGTGGGCAGTTTGTAGGAGCTGCCTCCTCGTGGGGAGGTCCAGATGAATGGGAGCTGCTTTAGCTCGGACTTTGGTGATGGCTAGTTTTAAAGGCTTAGTGAAGAGAGAGTGATTTCTTTCTAAGAGTCACACCCATGAAATGATGATCTGAGTACTGCTACAGACAGTCCTGTTAGACATGTCATGAATGGAGGTAGTTCCTAAATTTCTACAACAAACACCTGTGGAGAACAGCTGTACCTAGATGTACCTAGATGTACCTAGATCATCTTTAGAAATAATGTTTTGGGAGCACTTGATCTGCCCAGCAGAACTATTAGGTGCTTTCCCAGGAAGGATGCCTTTAAGTAAAGGTTTGGAAAGATTTTGCAACACCCCCCACCACCACACACACACCAAATGGACTGCAAATAAAGAGTTTGAAGTTATGATAATGGATAACATAACCTTGAAATCCAGAAAAAATACTGAATTACCATATTCCATAATTCTTCTATAGTCCTATTCTCTAGCTCTTGACTGCATGGAGCATATTTCTCCTGGTTGAAAGGCATGAGTGGGAGTCTAATTGACTAAACCAGTAATTTTCAAACTTTGTGGGAGGTGGTTAATACCAAGAGAGTCTGGCATCATGTTTATTTTTTTTTTTAATTTTAGCCTGTCTTCTTATCTTTTCTCTATTTCTGAGTGGGAAGCAGGTAGGGTCAAAGTGCCATAAGCTTATGCCCTTCAGATTAGCAGAAGGAAAACACCCATTTCTAGAATCTCTATTCTACAGTTCTCGTAAGGAAACCAATAATTCTATCTTGGTTTTTGACTGGCTTGATGGAACCCTTTCCTTCAGGGTTTGCTTGAATGAAAGCTGATTAATTTACTGAAGTCAATGCCAATGATTATTATTTGGCAGTTGTTACTCAGGGGACCGTGAGAACTGAGGAAGCAACTGCCATTGCATTCACAGAACTAACCTGCTGCGGATAAGTTTTTCTTCCACCTCTGGTTCTTTCCTGCACTTGTTTCTGTGCTATTAGTTCTCAGAAAACATTACTAGGAAATAAATTTTTACAGAAAACATCTCTGAAAACAAATCCCAGGCTAGTCTGCCTGAAATTAGGTCTACTGTTTGTGCTTCTCTGGAAATCTTCTTCCACTACATTCCTGGCACAGCAATAGGCAGTGGAACAATATTTTGGTGTTTTGTTCCAGGTGGTGAAGGTGCAGCACAGAACCATTGATACCTACTTGGAAGACATTATCCTGAGTAGCATGCAGAGGGCAGCTGAAGAACAAGCCAGGGAAGAGGTTCAGAGAAGGGCTGTAGAAATCAATGACATTGCTTATGAGCTGGAAAGTCGGTACGTTATTAAATGGCACATTAGAGGCTCTTCACAGCAGTTTAGAAACTGCCTGACCATCTGCATCTGTGGTTATGTGTATCATCCAAGACATGGGAAGGGCAGAGCAGTACTGTTCATGGTCGCTTCATTACTGTGACTGCTGTATGGGAACCACACTGGTACTACCTGGTGCACACATATAAATCCATCAAAGCCTTATTTGCATACAGCATGTGCCAGATTCCCTTTGCAAATCGCTTGTGCAATCTGTGAATCGCCCTTTTTAGATTTCTCCATGCCAATGGGAGGCTGTGACTGAGTTTTAAGTGAATCTGGGAACTGCCTAAAGCAATACCCATTCATACCGATCTTTTCCTTTATTTATACTACTACAGAAAATCCATTTGAAAGAGATGCTAAAAGATACAGCTATACAACAGCCTTTCATTCTGGGATGGCTGTTCTTTAAGAAAGTGCCAATTTCCGTGGAGGTCAGTCATATTGATGGCTGCCTGACAAGGCACTTTGAGTAAAGTAAGTTGTTGAGAACACCACAGTCTTGTGTTTGGCTGGGGCATCAGCAGTGAATACTTTTTAGGACTTGCCAAACCTCCAGTTCAGTTTCTATGCTCTTTTTTTGGAATTGAGCCATAAAAATCCCAATGACACAGTGACTCTCCTATGGTACAGCAGCTGTGTATTTTGTATCTAGATGAATACAACCAGAATGTTGGAATCCTTGGGGAGAATGAAGCGTAGATAATGCATGCAGCCCCTGGGCCAACTGGAAACCCAACAAACACTGGCATGGAAAAGAGCATGGGGACCAGCCAAGTGCAGAGTCACAAAAGAGAAGAATTTAGCAAACTCAGCAATGGGCCAAAGACTAAACTGACAAAGACACAAATGTTCAGAGGTATCTGTGTGTCTAACTTTGTTTGTCATCAGTGAAAATGGGGCTTCTAGATACCTTTGAGGATAGGGAGTCTAGGGTGATCCTCTTCCTGCTTTCCAGTGCAGTATTGAACACACTGGCAGTGCAGTGTGAAGGGGAATAGTCACACTGTCGCCTATTTGTAGGATAAAGAGAGACCCAGGTGACAATTACTGCCAGGACAATGCACTCCCTTGGAAATAGTGAGAATGTTTTCAAGGGAGTCTTGTGTTTGCAGAGGTGATCTGGAGAGAAGATTAAAATACTAATACCATTGTGCATCTGTTTTGTAGTCGAACTCGCCTACAGTCCGAAGAGATTGTAGCAGAGCTGGTTTATGATTTCCTGATTCCAGAAGCTGCGAAAAGTGCTATGAGAGAAAGAGGTAAGGTGTCTAGTAGCTTTATTCTCTTTGTGAACTGGTTCACTCTCCTCATTTTAGCTCTGTGAAAGATGCGGTGCCAAGAGTTGTCTCAGGTCTCTGAGATTCTCTTTTTCCATTATGCAGGTAGAAAGTTAAGCCCTTTGACTCTTTTTTCACCAATTTCTCATAAGCTTTAGTCTTTTTAAATGGTGACCAGAATTCAGACGTGCTGTAAGATCTGGACTGTGCTTTTGCCAAGAAAGGTTGGGACAGATGATCCTTGAGGTCCCTTCCCCCTGTTATTCTATTATAAATTTGAGGTATCTGCAACAATAAAACTGCATGAAAAGAAGCAGCCCATTGCACCTTCAAAAACAAACTGGAAGAAGTTTTTAAGTGGCATGACTGTGAATTGTCTATTTTATGGCAATTTCTGAAAACTGTGGACATCTTTAACACGAGATACTCAAATATATGCCATATGTGGAAGGAGGGTTATACACTATAATAGGAGTTATATACTCCTGTGCTTCCCCCTCCTTCCCAGTTGGTTGAGAGCTAGAAGCAAAGATAAAGTTTTAGGGTTGGTAAGCAGATAATCTTGCAGTTGTAAAGGATGCTTCTATTTAACAAAAATGGAATAGCATCAAAATACAGAGGGGAAGACCCTGGAAACCTGTGTCTTACAGTAATTATAATGAATAAATCTTAGCTGGGATGTTTCCACTGACCAGCACACTCAGAAGACCGTGACTAAACCTGTCACCCATAGCAAGTGGGTACGACCTACGGAAAGCAATGATATCACAATAGAGCCTGACGTGGTCCTTGCCGCAGTGCACTTCTCTGACTTGAGAACAAAGGCACTTACTTCACTGCCTTTTTTGTTGCTTTGTGAATGAAAACACAAACCCCGAACATGCATTTTGTGGCCTCTGAATTGTGCAGACTTCCTTCTTCCTAATTCATGTGTTTGCCTCAGCAACAGTACCTGTTCAGCAATTCTGCATGAGCTTAAATCAGCTCCCTTCTCTTTAGCACTGCTTCTGCCAGCCTTCCGAAGCAGGTGATGTAATGTTAGTCAGTGAAGCCTGCAGCTGAGGCACTAACACATGCAGGTTAGCCTGTCTCAGAAAGGAGAAGATAAAGAAGACCTGGAGATGGGCTAGGATTCTCAACACACAGAGGACATACATCAAGGAACAAAATATGTACTGAGCTTAAATGCAACAGCAGTTAATGAACAAAGCACCTCAGAAGCACTCCCAAGCAACAGACAAAAAGAATCTTCAAAATCTGTGAGAGCTACAGTCAGTTTGCCTGGAAAGCAGAGCTAGACCCAGACAAAAATTAAGGTGGATTCTGGTGGAATAGAGCAATAGGCGATAAAGCACAAGAGTTCCTTTAACTGTGATCAGGTGAAATTTGTCACAATATTCTTGTGACAGTAGAAATCAAATATCAGGAAGAGACCTGGCTAATACTCTCTCCTGCTGTTGCTTCATGGGGTAGAGGGGACTCCATACACTTAAGAGACAGTTGAATTCTATCAGATGTACACTCTGATGAACACACCCTGCTGTAAACTTCCTGCACAGCAATACTTTCAGGGAAGCAGAATCATCAACTATTCCATGTAAATACAGAGGAAATAGTATCAAAGAATGGCTTTAGATCTTGTAAGATGCATTTCTGTGGTGGCTTTTAAAGCTTTCCCTGCAGTGAGCCAAATTATTTATTAGGAAGCTGTTTTAGCAACCTGGCCCATGCTTGAGCATTCACCTTCTTTGAAACTATCAGGAAGTGATCTGAGAGCACAGTTGTCTGGGCTGTCAAAAGAGCAAATCCATTTTTAGAACAAGGATTTGAGGGCCTGCAAGCTCAGTCTTTGCCTACACTTTAGCTTCCCCTTAAATATCTCTATTTTGCCATTACCTACTTGTTAGGCAGTTTTTTCCTCCTCTTTTTGTCACATTTTGGTGTGTAAAAGCAGAGATTATCCAATATTGGCTCATCCTTATACTCCTCTACACCCCTCTTCTGAACCCTACCTCACTGGAAGTAGAAGTTGCTGTGCCGATATGAAAAAACTTGCTTTGAAAGGGACAAACTCACCAGTTTGAGCCTGTTTTCTTTTAGATGGAATTCACTGTGGATGGAGGAAGGGACTGCAGCAATACCAGGAGAGTATTGCCGGTATACCTGATGCAGTTCAAGCAAATATGATTCAAGCCAAAATGCCTTGGGTAGAGAAACCTCTCTTGGGAATTGAGAGCTGGCTGGTGAAGGTCAGCTGTTCAAATGCAAGTGAGATCTGGTTGCATTCATTGTTGACAAAATGGACCTGGGAGATGGATAAACATAAACAGGGTGGGTTAGTAACATGTAGTGACTGAGACAGGGACAGCATGCAGAACTGTATGACAGCATGCAGAACACCAGTGCTTCAGATTCACAGTTAAAGTACAGCTCAGCTTTACAACAGACCAAAACAAGTCTTGGACTTTCACAGGGAAGTGAACAATGAGAACCACAGTTTGTTCCTGCAACATTCCCCACACTCTCCCTAAAAGCAGGCAGTATTTCAATCCCCATGACTGAAATAAAGAGAGAAAGAGGGACCAAAGAACAGTGAAGAGCAGTGAGGAGAACTGTAGGGTGAATACTTAGACTTGGGTAATTACTTCCCAGGAGGAGGTTTGGAAACACATATAAATGACTTTGGATGAAAAAAGTAAGGACCAATCCTGCAGTAGCTGAGGGGAGATGATAAGGTGGGTGACTTAGTGTCTTGAGTCTTACTTTGAACTCAGTAACAGTTTCTCAGTGCAAGCCAAATCATAGCACAGGAGAAGGCAGATTTCAGCTGGAGTCTTCCAGAGGCCTGCTGCAATTAGGAGACACTGAAGGAGAAGTTATTTTAAAGCTGCATAATATATCCTGGGCGGTTGTGCCCAGAGGTGGAAAGGAAAACACTTGGGCCGTGCTTCCCACTGTGGGGGCTAGTCTTCAAAGGGAAATGCAAAGTTGGTTGCTGCTATTAGGTGGCAGTAGAACACTTTCAGCCAAAGTTAGAAGGGCGTGATTTTTTTCCTGAGATAGACTTTTCCACAGCTGCAGGATTGGTAAAACTATCCCTCCCTTCTCCCCTACAGAGAACACTTTGCTGTACAATTCCAAGTAAAAGCCTTACCTCTTTTTATGTGCAGTGAGGCAGTCCCAAAGAAAACACATCTACGCTGCTCATCAGATCATCCATGGGGGCACAGAGAGCGTTTTGGCAGATCCGGCACTGCATCGGGAGGCATCTGCCAGCAGGATAGAGGGAGATCCTCCTGCTGGGACAGCCAGCACTGCTGCGAGTGGGACAGCTGCTGGACCAGGGGCAGCTGCCACAGTTGCACGTGAACTAGATAGACTTCTGTGCAAAGAAAGCAAGGATCCCACAGCCTCCTAGAGATAGAAGATGCGTGAGGTGAGTTTCTCTTCCCCTCCGTGATTTGAGCTCAGAGCATGCTGAAGGTGAGGGAAGCACATTATATCTACTTTTTCAGAGCACCCAGAATGGAAAATCCTCTCTCTCCTTTGGGCTTTCCTTCCTGATGCCTGCCAGCAATGTTGTCCTGGAGCCACTCTGTATACATTTTGGTGTGGCAGCTCCCTCCACTCCCTCCCCAGCTTGCTTTGGACTTCATGAGCTCATTTTCCTCTTCTGATTATTAAGAGAAGCTTGACTGAGAAAGCAGTGTTAGCACTCTTTGTTTGTTTTCCTGGCACAGACCAATAAAAATCTGCACCTGGGCTTTTGATGGTACTTCCTTGCATCAATAACATTGAAAAAATACTCCATCAGTGGGAAATTTTCAGTTGAGACCATACACAGTCAAGCATGTCCCACTGATTTCCTTAGTGGTGTCGGGCCAAGTGGCTTCCTGCATTAGCACAGCTATTGATAAAGCATTGGAGGTGAATGAAAACGGTCAGATTTTGCGTCATCTTTTCACATAATTAGTCCTTGCATAAAGTGCCTTTGACCTCAGCAGAGTGGTTCCTGCCAAGCAGGCAGTGTCTGGTACTAACAGTTAAGGCTAGGTGATAGCTGAATGACATGGGCATAGAGGGGCTGATGTATTTTCCAGAAATAGTACTCTTTGGACTGACCTCTTGCTTTTTATCATCCCGAAGGAGAACAATTCTTGAAAGAGTCTTCTTAGAACAGTATTAGTCACTCTGGCTTTCCAGCTCCAGGGGGCCACACAGAAAGGATGCTGGCTTTGCCGTGTTTGCAAGCACGGGGGTGCTCCAGCTGAGTATGTCAGAAAGCAGCAGGCTGCAGACAGGCACGGTGCATCTGGTCAGAGAGCTCTCAGGGCTCGCTGAGCTCTTCAGCACTCACCTGTCAAAATTCTCAAGGTCTGTGGCTTTAGCACCTGAGAGGTACATTTGCACCAATACCAGTGTCAGATGCACGTTTTGGAGGAGCAGGCACCACACCCAAAATGCTTATTCATTGATAGCCACAGCTTACACAACAAACGGCAGTATTAGCCCTCACTGCTAATGGGATAACTGGCTCATCTCTCCCTGCTTCCATCATTTCTCAGTGATGGATCCTTGTGCTGGGTCTGTAAAGTTCAGGTGGGCTCCAGCTAATCCTGACCATGGTGCTGCTCCTACAAAACACAAACCAGCGGCTGGTCAAAAATTCAGGCTCATTAGTGCATTCCTGAAAAAATTTTGCATCAGGTTTTTGTTTTGTGGATTGGGCTGGGGCAGAGTACAGGGAAAGGAATTACAGGGAGGGGAGAGAATACCCTGTATTACACTGGGCTGTAAATAACAGCTGGAGGGAGGAAACTCAGAGCTGCACCAAAACATTACTGGTCTTCAAGTCACTGAACCAGGGACACCAAGGGGCTGGTGAGGTCAGGCAGCCTCTGTAAGTATTCCAACTTCTGGCAGGAGTCAGAGATGGGTGATAAGTTTTGGTTAGGATTCTGTGAGAGTCATCCCATTAGGGACTGTGGATTTGGAACAATTCTCATGGCACACACAGGTAGTCAGTAAAAGGGAAGGTTGCAAATGCAAAAATATAGAAAGAAACACTCCACAGTGTGGGAGGAAAAGCTGTGCAGGGATCGGCTCTGTTGCCTCAGGCCACCTTGGACAAATTTAGCCTAGTTGAAAGGGGGGTGGGGGATGGATAACATGAATCACAAGATCCAGTGTAATAGGAGAGACATGGAAAACGATGCAGCAGAACAGTAGAACACGAAGACCGATCCATTGAGGCATTTGCTGTATTTCTGAAGGGATCTGTTGAGATAAACATTCTCTATGTAGCTCATTGTACAATTTGACATGGTTTTAAAAAGTTAAGTATTCCAACAGGTGTGGGAATGGACGGAGGTTTCAGGACTCTGCTCTTCTGTAGGGATGCAGCCCTCCGCATGACAACAAAGGGGGCAGGGGACTCCAGATGCTGTGCACAGGCTGAGCTATAAATGTCTTGGCTTCTGTTATGATTTAAGGGACACCATCAGAGTAAAGCCATCTTTTCCACATGACATTGCCTAACATGTAAACTGAAGGCACAGCAGGATTCCTGCAAGAAACTTTCCTGTAGAAACTTCTTTCAATTGTCATGTGTGGGTTTTTTTTTTTCAAGCTTTGCAGAATATACTTTGAGAAAGAAAACGAGCACAGTGAGAGGGAATTTGGATCATAAATCAACAGCATAAGAATGCACCATTCCCTCTCCTAGCAGGAGACAGAACAACCCTGGGGAGGAGCCCTACCCAAAACAGACACAGCAGATGCCTCCAGGGCTGCACCAATACAGTGGAAACACAAGGAAAATTCAGCTTGTCCCGCTTTTCTTTCACCAGCTGCCCATGGAAAGGGAGCCTGGCTGTGCTGCTCTGCTGGCTTCTGCCTCCTGGCAGGTGGGGGAGACAGGCTGAACCAAACGGGCCTCTGGGGTCACTGCACTGTGAGAATGGTGAAAAATCGGTCTCTTTGCAGTAGATGAATGAATGCAAATTGTCTCAGGGCTTCCCTGCTGGTATGGCTCTTGTGATGTGGAAGGAGGAAATCCTATTATGCTAACTACAGTTCAGCAGAAAGGACTTTCAGTAGGAGAGCTGGAAGCTGGTACACACACCTTTTTCACTGGACATGTACGGTATCTGCATTTCTGTCAACATAAAACCACACCAAGCCCACACCCTCCCACCTCTCCTGCCTCCCTTAAAAGCAACATGACCATCACAAGAGTTGCTGCCATAGACCTGGATGTGGTGCTGTTAAAAGAGTTCTTGCCACTTTCTTAGCACTGCTGTTCTCTCTGTTCCTGGTCTCACAAGCACACAGGATCTGCCTGGTACTTCATTGGGCTCAATTCAGCCCTCACACAAATTCTTTTTTGGGGGTGGGAAGGGGAGATTAACCCTGCAAGTATGGTCCTCACATGCCCAAGGCTTTTAACAAGGTCCACTTGCACTACTACCAACTACCTCCTCCCAGTCCTGTCTCCCTGCTTCCACCAAAATCCTATTCTTGCAGCTTTCCCTGTGTTTTTATGATTGGTGAATCGGTATCTTCCTGGTACCCACCAGCCTCCTCACCACAAAGCCTTCCTGAGTCAGGGTTGGGCCTGGAAGAGGTGCTGTTGTTTCCTATGCCTGCCCTCCACCCCACCAGAGAGGCAGGAATTGGTTTGAACATCTGCCAAAACTGCCAAATCTCTTAGACATAATATGTAAACCTGGACTAGTAAATTCAGTCTTCCTGGATCCACCCTGGACTAGCAGAACTAGCAAGAAAAGCATCTCAACATACACTGTTTGCATGAGAAAGAAAATCCCCGAGGGCCAATGGGAAGGGTGTGTGCTGACACCCATGGAGGAGAGGCAGCTCTGGCTCTCTGCTCCAATCATGGAATTCATTCCCCTTTGTTTTTCTTTTTTTCTCACACGCTGTGTCAACCCCATGCACCTTTTCCTCCACCTCTCATGGCTGGAGTCCAGACCACTTCTCTTGGCCTCTTCCCATGCGCCACATCCCAATACTTCATGTAGCACTCGGAAAGGATGTCCTGTTCCATTTCCTTCCTGGGCTGCTTACCTGTATCCACATGTGTTGCCTGGCTCAGCACACCATCCCCAACAGACCCGAGAGCTGTGACTGTTCCTGCAAACACTCACCGTTGTGGCTGCCCACTTGTCTGTAGCTGGTTGGACCCTTCGCACAGCCTGGCCGGTTGAGATTTATCACAACCAGTTTCCCCCAGTGGGGAACTTTCATGGTGACCTGCACTCCTTGCCTGTCCTGGAGCTCCTCAGTCAGTGCTGGGCATGGGACTGTTGGTCCTTTTCCGTGGGGCAGTGGCTGGAAGGATGTGGCGCTACCTCGATGCAAATCGCAGTGAGCGAGCGGCAGCTGCGCAGCAAGGACCCGATGCTACTGCTCCTGGTGACAACGTCACCACTGAGCGTGAGCAGCACCAGTGCCCTGAATACAGATGCAGAAAGAAGCCTGAAATATTTAACCAGTGCTTTTATGTAGCCCCTGAATTGAGAACGCACTGCACCTTCTCCTAAATACCCTTCTCAGCCAGTGGCCTCTCGCTCACCCTTTGACATCACAAGCATTTGGAAAGCAGCTGCTCCCACCAGCATTCCAAGAGACTGAAAAGCTGCATTTGCTCCTCTCTCTTTAAGTTGCTGCAGGATTGATCCTAAGAAAGAATCTCCCTTTTGTTTATTACTGAGCCAGTCATAGCCAGCCCTTCCCTGTAAAGCCTCCTGAAAACACTATGTTGATTCCTTACCTGTTAAAACCTTTCCCCACCTGCCAATGTAATTTTTCTGCCTCCAGCCAAATGCAAACCATTTTTATTGCTGTCTGGGCCCCAAATCTGTTGTCTCCAGCAGAAACAGCTTCCACTGACCAACCTGTTCCTAGGCCTGGTGCTATGAGACAAAAATCTTAAAAGAGGAATGAGGTGTAACTGAGATTGTCCAAAGACTTCTCAGCTGGAGTATTCACCCAGTATTCCCTTTTCCTAAGGCTGGTCACAAACATCAGCATCCAAAACAACTCTCATTGAGTAAAAATGCTCTCAAAACAACCTGGGTTTTGCCAGTAAGCACCAACTTCCTCCTGAACACTCTGGCCTGGCAAAGGATTTCAGGAATGAGCTGCAAAAGAGATGAGAAGGAGGAGGAGGAGGGCATGGCTGCTGTTATGCAGTAGCAAACAATCATAGAATTGTTTAGGTTGGAAAGGACCTCTAGGGTCCCCAAGTGCAACCATTAACCCAGCACTGCCAAGCCCATCACTAAACTTGTGTCCCCAAGTGCCACATCTACATGTCTTTTAAATACTGCCAGGGATGGTGGGTGACTCCACCACTTCCCTGGGTAGCCTGTTCCAGGGCTTGATAACCACTTCCATGAAGAATTTTTTACCTAATACCTGATCTAATCGTCCCCTGGTGCAACTTGAGGCCGTTTCCTCTTGTGCTGTTGCTTGTTACCTGGGAGAAGAGACTGACCCCCGCCCCTCACTACAACCTCCTTTCTGGTAGTTGTAGAGGGCAGTAATGAGGGAGCTGATGGGCTGGTGAGAGAGCAGGGTGAATACCTCTTGCTCCTTCTCAAGCTCACATGCTGTTCCCACTGCACGCATGACCCCACCTCACTCCCTGCAGCCCCAGCCTCCCTCTGGCAAGACCTGTCGGGTATCTGGACCCTGTGACCGCTCAGCACTTGGAGGTGGTGTAAAGCACAGGGAGTTCAAGCAGCAAGTTACAGTGAACAATCCTATTTTAAGTCATGGGTTCGCCAGTTTTTAAAAACTTTGCTTAGGGAAAAAATCCACCAACCAAAATCCAACCCAAACCCCTCAATTCCTCTACATTTCTCAAATCCATTACATTCTAGGTTCCCAGGGTCCGCCATCATACACAGGGCCCACGGTTCCTCTGCTGGGACAAGTGCTTGTGCTCTGCCAGGCAGCTCTGCCTGGGGACAAGGGTTTGTTTGCCCACGGGCACATTTTGTCACTCTGTGGCAAGCAGGGGGGTTCTGCAGGCTGCCCTGGACTTGGGCAGGCTGCCCCACTGCAACTCTCCTGACAGAGCACCCTGGTTACAAACGCTCTGCTGCAGCCACTTGCAAGCTTCCACAAGGGAAGAGGTTGTTCATTCCCCACTTACCTTGTCATGGAGGACCCAGCCTTACTTCAGGAGTATGGGAGCAGAGACAGGTGATGCAGAGAGCAGGGAATCCCTGGAAGAGAAGGCTTTAACTCCACTGACTGCACAGGAGACCTACTTGACTGCATGCATACTCAGAGGGCAATAGGACACACGAAGAAAACATCTGTTCCAGGACATCAGGACTTAGCTGAGTGTGCAGCAAGATCCAGGGTTGCATTCCTGCATTGACCAAAGGCAGGTGTTTGCCATGAAAGTCCAGCTCTCCCTTACAGCCCAGACACTCGTGTGCTGTCTCTTGCGACAAGCACAAGCAGGAGTTTGTTTGGGGGACTGGTCTCTGCTCCAAACACTTGGCATTGTATGACACTCACACCCAGACTGGAGCCTGGATTTCCTGCTGTGCCCCGTGAGGCATTGATATTTACACACCTTCCTTTCCTACAGACCTCAGATTTGGCAGCAGCTCAGGTCTGACCCCGCAGCCTTTGTGCACAACTGCTTTAGCTAAGCCAGCAGTGATGGAGCAGCCCTGGCCCTCGCCAGGAACACCACCCTGCAAGACTAGTGAAGGAAGACAGGACAACAACCCAGCCAAGCCCTTCCTAGAGCCAGGGGAGGGAAGCAAGGTTCAAGACTGGCTAATGAAGTTGTGTACCATCTGCTGGGCTCACTGTCTCCAAGCAACTGGACTTGGAGCTTCACACACAAACTGCAGTGCTCCTGCTCTCTCTCCCGTCCACAGTTTGTGGCTCACTTCCCTCCTCCTCCTTTGTGGTTCTTGTTCTTCTCCCACAGAAAGCAAATTGGACCTTACCACCAGCAGCCTGAAAGCTGCCACCTTCCAGATAACAAATGGTGCCAGTAGCCTTGACACTGACTTTTAATTCCAACGCAGATGGCTGGCAGTTCAGTCGATAAAGACAAAGCACATCAGTGGAGCAGACTTTTGTACCGCATTCAGCTTGGTCCTGCTTTGCGCTTGGATTAGCATTTTAAGTCATTCAAAGGCGTTGGTGACCAACAACTAAGTGGATTTGAACCTGGTTTGCAGACAGGTCTCGAGCAGTATTTTCTCACAGGGAACAGCGACAGAATGACCATTCCCTGGAAGGTTGTGTGGGGGACTGGCTCTTGATGCAAACGTGTTTTATTACATCTTTTAAAAGGGTGACTGGAATATAAAACTCTAGGAGTCCTGTTGGCAATGCTTGCAGGGGTTACATTAGGAGAGAGTGATGGATAAACTGGACAACAGCAGGCTCCTCACAGAAAGGCGAATGCAATACTTAGGTAAGGAGATAGACAGGCACCAGCTGCAAGATGCTCTCTAGTGCCTTTATTTGACACTGGGGAGACTACTGAGGAAACCTCTGTCGGTTTTTGGTACCTACTGCTTAAGGAGGGTCTTAAAAACAATGGCAGAGGAGATACAATTGGAAATACTACAAAGATACAAAGGATCCCCTTCTAGTCAGCTTAGCAAGAAGTTATGAGGTGTTTGAGTCCTGGTCAAGGGGCTCTGACATTCAGAAGAGAGACCTGAGACTGAAGCTGAGGGTTGCTGTGCAAAAAACTGCACATAAAAAGAGCACCACATCTTGCATTTGTGGTGAGAGAAGTTCAGAAGAGACAGGAGGCCTCAGGGTACATGAATCTAGAAAAGTACCCAGGGATGACTAACCACCACCCCAAATCACTGAGGATTGTGATGAACTCCCCATCAGAGGCAAGCTTTAAATCAATAAACTCACCTAGAGAGGTGCTGTAGTTCAGGCAGTGATGCTTTTGCAGGTGTAACTGGCCGCCTTTAACGCCAGGGACCAGACAGGCCGAGCAGAGCAGCCCCAATCTCACCAAATGAGTTGGATGCAGCCTCAACCCTGGTGACCTTGTGGGACCACTGTAAGTGAAGGGACAGCAGCCGCTGCTCACCTGTGTTGTTTCTGGGGTGGCCAGGTTGTTGGGGGCAGCCTGGCCCCCTTATCCTGGTGACCCAGAGGAGCAGGGGCTGAACAAACCAAGCCCCAAGCCCGTGTCAGGGAGCTGGGGGGGACTGGCACCTGCTTCAAGGGCGGTTTCAGTACCCAGGAAGGGTGGGAACAGCTCCCAAATTGCACGTATCGGCAATCTGAAGAGGATTGCAGGGTAAGGTAACACTTACTGTGTGGACTCGTCACAGACAGGGACTGTCCTGTCCCTGCCAGCTGTCTGGGGCAGGGGAAGCCTCGCTCTGCAGGAAGCACCAGACTTCACCCCCTCAGTCCTTTAAGGCACTGACCAGACTCGCACTTCTCCAGTCCTGGCTGAATTTGCGCACAGGGCCCTTTCCGCTAAACCAAAGTCTGTCTCTCTCCGAGCAGCTACCTGGAGGCATCTGTCCCTATGTCTCTGAAGTGTGGCCCTTCCCACCCACCTCTCACTTCTGGAGGGGCTCCGGAGTGGAGGCTCCAGCCTGGAGCCCAGCAGAGGTTTTGTGGGGACAACCGCGGCTTGTGGCACACAAACAAACCGAGAGGAGCCTCTTTGCAATATAAATTTGTTTTTATTGAAGCAGCAGTCACATGACCTCGCATCTAGCCTTTAGGATAGCGACAGAATGGATTCGGCCAGGTCAGCCAGCCCAAAAAAGGTTTTTTTTTTTTCTTTTTTCTTTTTGCGCTAATAGACATGTCATGTTTAATACATACATTATCCAGTACCGGAAACCCAACTCAGAGATAGCTACGTGCTGATTTGCTGGAGGAACGGTCCACTGGACGTGGTCTCAACAAACTTTACAGATCACCACCAAATAACATTACTAATGGGATCCAATGATTAAAAAAAACAACCCAAACAACCATGAGTGCAGGATTCAAGCCAGCAGTTTACACAGGTTAAGTTTGTAACTATAGGTGGACGGTAAAGGAAGATTGGTTGGTTTCAATTTGAAATATTTATGTCCCAGGGTTCCTCTCTCCATCAAATCAAACGGTATCATAGACAAGCTGGCATCTCTTGAAAAATAGCATGGAATAACACAGTTCATTTAAGAAAACATGCTCATTTCTTGTGGTTTTTCTTCTATTATTACAAAGATTTATGTCCACCTATTCTTGCAGAGTGGAAAGAGGCGTGAGGGTGAGGAACAAGGGTTGGAGAAGGGAGAGAGGAGGAGGAAAGAAAGGGGCAATTTTTTGAAATAAAGACCACACACTTGGTATTTTTTAAATTTCATTTCCAGGCTAACCTACTTTTTATTTAATGCAAATTACAGTA